AACAGAACACATCTACCGCCAGTCGCATCGTTGAGCCAACACGCGAGGACCCCCCCCCCCCCCACACTGCCCGGCTGACCTGTGGAGCCATTTGACAGCAATCTATGGGGGGGGGGGGGGGGGGGTAGGAGTGAGGGGGGGGGACGTCAAACTTGGATAGTTGATCATGCTCGAATTGACAACATAATGTAACATGTCAGTTTCAGTCCAGCCCCACCCCCCTTACATTCGATAATAGTTTAATATAAACCTTCACTACGGTGAGAGAGAAAGCGAGACAGAGGGGGGGGGGGGGGGGGGGGGTAGCATAGATGATCAACCCAAATCATCCTCGAATCCCACCGGGTTTTGTTTGAGAGATAGTGGGCATGGCAAAAACCTCTTGAGTGATTCTGTTACTGATTTGAGTAGGATTGGTTTTAAAATTCAGTGGCCGGTCCATGGGTTAGTCAGTATTGACCCAGTTAGTCACCAGTTAGTCAGTATTGACCAGTTAGTCAGTATTGACCAGTTAGTCAGTATTGACCAGTTAGTCAGTATTGACCAGTTAGTCAGTATTGACCAGTTAGTCAGTATTGACCAGTAAGTCACCAGTTAGTCAGTATTGACCAGTTAGTCAGTATTGACCAGTAAGTCACAGGTTAGTCAGTATTGACCAGTTAGTCAGTATTGACCAGCTAGTCAGTATTGACCAGTTAGTCAGTATTGACCAGTTAGTCAGTATTGACCAGTAAGTCACAGGTTAGTCAGTATTGACCAGTTAGTCAGTATTGACCAGCTAGTCAGTATTGACCAGTTAGTCAGTATTGACCAGTTAGTCAGTATTGACCAGTTAGTCAGTATTGACCAGTTAGTCAGTATTGACCAGTTAGTCAGTATTGACCAGTTAGTCAGTATTGAGCAGTTAGTCAGTATTGAGCAGTTAGTCGGTATTGACCAGTTAGTCAGTATTGACTAAGTTAGTCAGTATTGAGCAGTTAGTCAGTATTGAGCAGTTAGTCGGTATTGACCAGTTAGTCAGTATTGACCAGTTAGTCAGTATTGACCCACTTAGTCAGTATTGACCCAGTTAGTCAGTATTGACCCAGTTAGTCAGTATTGACCAGTTAGTCAGTATTGACCAGTAAGTCACCAGTTAGTATTGACCAGTTAGTCAGTATTGACCCAGTTAGTCAGTATTGACCAGTTAGTCAGTATTGACCAGTTAGTCAGTATTGACCAGTTAGTCAGTATTGACCAGTTAGTCAGTATTGACCAGTTAGTCACCAGTTAGTCAGGATTGACCAGTAAGTCACCAGTTAGTCAGTATTGACCAGTTAGTCAGTATTGACCCAGTTAGTCAGTATTGACCCAGTTAGTCAGTATTGACCCAGTTAGTCAATATTGACCAGTTAGTCAGTATTGACCAGTAAGTCACAGGTTAGTCAGTATTGACCAGTTAGTCACCAGTTAGTCAGGATTGACCAGTAAGTCACCAGTTAGTCAGTATTGACCAGTTAGTCAGTATTGACCCAGTTAGTCAGTATTGACCCAGTTAGTCAGTATTGACCCAGTTAGTCAGTATTGACCAGTTAGTCAGTATTGACCAGTTAGTCAGTATTGACCAGTAAGTTACTAGTGACCAGAGAAGGGTAGGCCATACGTTAATATAAAGGCATGTCAACGAATCTACAAGATATAGACAGACACAAAAACACATAGGAAGAAAAGAGAGAAAAAAATTTAAATAAAAAGAAAAACATGAAAATGATTGGAAAAAAGGAAGAAATAGAAGAAGAAAAAATAGCTAAGGACAGAACAGCGTGGAGTAGAAGTAAAGCACCCTTTTCGGACCATAAGGGTTCACGGCGGAGGTGAAGTACAGTTCATCTGTTTCAATTACCTCGGCATATGTTTTAACTTGATGTGAGTCAGGTACACAACAGAGCTGGGTGGGCTCGAGCTAGAATGTTAGCACCCGACCACACCATTAAAAAGTATGAAAGGAAGCTGTACATGAAAAAAGACGAAGAAGAATACAATACGAAAAATATATTTAAAAACAGAAAGATAGACTACAATTTTAATTTTTTATCAGAAATATATTCAATTCTCAGTTCAGCTCGTTTAAATATTTTAACAGAAAGAATCTATTTAAATTATTTTTTTTTAAATAAGGGTACAACATCACTGCCCTAAATTGTCTAGTGGAACCTGGATTCGTACTCGAGACTTACGGGTAAGCCGTCAATTCTATGCACCATTGTGAGTTCTAAATACAATACCAAAAATATATTTTAAAACAGACGGACTACAATTTTATCAGAAATAGATTACGTTTCTAACATAGTTCCTTAAATAACGAAGTTCCTTAAATGTTTTAACAGAAAGAATTTATTTATATAAAAAGGATTGTATTTATTTTTTCGTAAGCAAGGGACACCATCACAGCCCTGTCTAGTGGAGTCCAGGTCAGCGTGGCACTATATTACATCTGTCAGAAGTCTAGACACGTTTGACACGCAAGGGAACTGCCACACTGCCTGTACTTTACGGTACAACATAAATCGTTTAAAAATATTAGCATAGTCTATAAAAGCGCTTCTCAAAATGTGACGTGTAGCCTCTGACCGAGAATGTCGAAAAATATTTTACATAATTAAAATCCAGGAAGTTTATAATAGCTTACGACTGCTAACACGAAAATCTCGAGTTCGGATTTCGGGCTCGATTCTGATGGGTACCAGACTCACGTTAGGGAAACAAAGCCTGCTGACCATACTATACCTTCATATGCCGAGGTAATTGAAACAAATTAACTCTACTTCATCTACCCCATGTGTCTTGGGCACGAGCGGGAAAAGATAATGGTAATGATCAAGTACATAACAATGGCGTAGCCAGGATTTGGTCATAGGAGGGGTTCAAACCTTTTTCTATATAATCCTATATATATATATATATATATATATATATATATATATATATATATATATATATATATATATATATATATATATATATATATATATATATATATATGGGTCCATGGAAGGGGTTATAACCCCCCCCCCCCTTGCCTACGCCACTGGTACATAAAATATGTGTACACATTTGATCCATCAGTACATTAACTTAAAAAAAAATTGGTAAAAAAAATTGAGAACCTTAGAACCACAGCGGAAAAAAAAAAACAACGGGAATTCCCCAATGCTTCCCATACTCTTCCATAAATATGCCACGGACTACCATGAGAGCAAGCAATAAACATAACCGAGCAGTCGATCTATCCGGTTGTAACACGGGACTGTCGATAGGGCGCAGTGACTCCAAACGAAAGTGGAACATTTGAAACTTGAGTAGGTCAACATGACCTGTGATATTTATATCCAGAATTTTATGTGTGAATGTATTATACCAAGCTAATCTAAACAATTTTTTTTTAAAGTTTAGTTTTTCAAAGTCGCGTGAGAACCCAATAATAATGACTCAACCCTAAAAATATAGACAATTTTTTTTTTTTCAGTTACGTGAACATTCAATTTCTAATACAGAGAATGTGAAAGGCAACACACGGGACCTCGTGTGGCTCTTTGACAATGTGGGTATTAGGGCTAATGAGGATCTTCACACAATGTGGGTGTTGGGGCTAAAACGGCTCTTTTAAAAATATGGCTACAAGGCAGAATTAAATTGTGTGGTTCTTTTACCACTATGGCTACAGGCCTCTTTCAACAGTGTGGTTACAGGGCCAAATGTGGCTCTTTCAACAGTGTGGCTACAGGGCCTAATGTGGCTCTTTCAACAGTGTGGCTACAGGGCCTAATGTGGCTCTTTCAACAGTGTGTCTACAGGGCCAAATGTGGCTCTTTTGACAGTGTGGCTACAGCGCCAAATGTGGCTCTTTTGACAGTGTGGCTACAGCGCCAAATGTGGCTCTTTTGACAGTGTGGCTACAGGGCCTAATGTGGCTCTTTCAACAGTATAGTTACAGGACCTAATCATCTCTAGCCCCTGTGTAATCCTAACCCACTTTTGTATATCATTTTTGCTGTTTTGAGGTGTTTCTGGCATAATGACTTGATTATTTCAAGAATATTGTCTTAGAAAAGTATTAAAGCCCAGTAATTTTGGTCTGACAACTCTAAATACAGAAAAGGAAAACGGACATGAATTGGCCACACACTCATGAAACCTGTATCCAGCATAACAAGACAGGCCTTCACTTTGAATCCACAGGCAAAAAGAAAAGATGCTAACCAAGGAAGACTTGGAGACGTGACCTGGAAGATGACACCAAGAAGATTGGATACACCTGGGGACAATTGAAGAGACTAACCCAGGACAGAGACGCCTGGAAAGTTCTTGTCAGCAGTCTATGTCCGAGGAGGGGCAACCGGCTAACCTAACCCAATCCTAAATATGCTTACTTTTATTTGAAATCATGACTAATTATAACTTGTATCTAATAAGCCTAAGAACATGCACAGCTATGGTGGAAATAGTGTTTTTTTTTTTTTAAATTCAAGAAATAAACAAAACTGATCCTTAGTAAAGAATTAACAACAACATATAAAGGAAATCTTCTTCTTCGTTCTTAATTTTTAGTGTTGAAGGGGATCGAGATTTATCTGCAAGTGGGTTTGAACTCGAGACTTTGTTCGAATTTATCCACCATTAGCTTTCTGCCGACTCGACCACGCCTCCAACACAATTAAGCGTTACGTGTCAACTGGTTAAGCGCCATTGAGGCCATTGACTCAGATTTCAGCCTGCTTTTCTTTTTGGATTTGCTTCCATAGCCTATGTCCAACCAAGAACAAACTACAAGGCAGCAATTGTTTAATTTTGGAGTTGTCTCTCCTAGAAGAGTGGCTGTCCCCAGCTAACGAGCCTCATCTGCCCGAGGGTTCGAACTCGAGACTTTTCGGTTTAGCAACCATGAGCTTTACCGACTCAACCACGCCGACCCCATAAAGGAAATAATTAGTTGTTTTTTTAAACTTAAAGTACAAACTTACCTAATCAAACCTGGCCTATCGTGCTAATCACCACCCTGGTTCCCCTACAGACAACTCAGCAATGTTGCATGCATACAACTCATCCAACATTTATATAAAGGTATCATGATGATGTACAACGGAGTCAAACGATGGTTGTTCATATCTGAAAATATAGTTGTTATACAAAATTATAAAAGTTGTTTTAAAGTTTATTTAGTTATATTTATTATCTATTACATTTTACTACACAGTTTCTAAAGCATGTATAGCAACATGAAACAGAAATGCAACATATTTTTTGTGTGCAAATAATAAGATGTTGGACTTAAATAAAATTGCTATTATTTCCTCTGTGCACTTTAAATATAATCATATTGTGAGGCATTGCAAGTGAGTTATTTTGTCTTAGTAGTAAATGGGCTGCTGCAGTTAGGGCACAGACTTCCATCAATTTCCTTTATACAAGTAAATCCATATTTTACATATATTATTATGATATTCGTCTGCCCACTTTCTTTTTTTTTATGCTCGACATAGATCTAGTTAGTATGAGAGGATTTAAGGATTTTAAAAAAAAAAAGAAAAATAACAAATGTACCGTCACAACAGTCATAAGTCGATTATTGGGCAACAATATAGAGATAAAAAAGTATGTTCATCAAAGTACATGTGTATACTACACGATCAATACACAACTGTATATTTGGTGTAGACACAATTTAGTGACAATTTGTATTGTATGTGTATCATGACGTTCAAGGATTCCACAATATACAAATAAATATCATGATATTTGAACTGTTGTCATACTCTGCAAATTCTATTTTCTATTTTCCGCACTGACAAAATCCTATCACAAAGTCTGGTGTGTCTCTTGACCTCCGGCGAACCCCTGTGAGACTGACTCACTGACCCCCGGGGTTCAATTGAACCCAGGTTATTCAAATTAAGAACCACTTTTCCACTGATCTAATTTTAATTAATTAAAATTAAAAATTTTAGGCCTGATTATTAAAATTTTAAATAGCCTATCTGCCCTATCTTCACAAACGAGTACACTCACACATTAGTTAACACAACACTTTCACTTTTTTTGTTACAAATTTCAATTTGTCAAAATGAACAACTCTGAACTAGACTACTAGTTAGTTAGTCTGAACTAGATCTAGAGAGATCTAGATCTAGAGATCTAGTCAGTAGGCTTACTAAGTTAGTTTAAAAAAATTAGATGATGAAGTTAGTAGTCTAGATCTAGTTACAGTAGTAGTTTAGTAGTTAGTAGATCTAGAAATCTAGTAGTTAGTGTTACTAGAGATTTTCAATTTAGAGATCTAGATTCTAGATTTTAAAAAATATACTCTATTATGCCATTTATGCCCCTGGCCTATTAGCATAATTGAGATTTAGTCAGTAGGAGTATGATGTATAATTTAGTATAAAATTAAAATGTTACAATAAGAAAATAATGATTACCTCGTGAAGTAAGTAGGGGCTACTTACTACTTAGACTAGTCTAGATCTAACTAGTCTAGTTTTAAACTAGAAAAATATAAACAAAGTGAAATGGTAACTCTATTTACCAGCACACGCAATTCTAATTTATGTCTTTAAAAAAACCAATGAAGTCATTTTAGTCAAAGTAAACTGTTATCTCATTGATTGTATTAACTGAACAAACAATATGACAAACATAATGTTGTTTAGGTAATACTAACGTTTTGAAGTTAATTTTTTAAGTAAACAGAATAATGTACTGTCTTTTGGCACCACAACCTTTAAATCTCTAGCATTATGCTAAAGATATCGATCCAGTGGCGTAGGCAGGGGGGTAGGGGGTCATAGCCCCCATAGACCCCTCGGTATATATATATATATATATATATATATATATATATATATATATATATATATATATAAAGTATGAGGGGGTGCAAATCGAAAGTTTGAGGGGGGTGCAAATCGAAAGTTTGAGGGGGGGGGGGTGTAAATCAAAAGTCTGGGGGTGCAAATCGAAAGTCTGAGGGGAGGGGGGAGGGTGCAAATCGAAAGTTTGTCCCCGGGTAAAAATTGGAACCCCCTCCTCTTGAGACGATCCTGGCTACGCCACTGTATCGATCTATTATAAAATATAGTTGTGTATAACTACAGAAGTAATAAATAATAAACCATAAGCTAAAAATTATACGCTGACACATGGGGCAAGAGTTGAAAACTCAACGTGTTTTTTTTTCAAAATGTCAAAGAAAACTTTTATGTAAAATGTTCCAAACGGGCGCCATATTTTAATATTTTAGCAGATTTCCCCCTTCCCCTATTGTCACTAATCCCTCTTCACACATTACATAGTTCTAATCACCCATAAAGTTGTCAATTCTAAAGAATCTTTTTAAAAAAAAACATGTATGCGATGTTAAGATCTACGCGGTGAAGCACAATGTGACACTCGCACCGTTTGAAGTAAATGGTGCGGATGGGCCAGGTTCCACGGTTGAAAACTGAAAAGGCACGGCGCTTCATAAAAAATAAGGAGAATTAAATTACGTTCAAGTAGTTCAGTTTCTAACACGATTTACAACACTTTAAAATGAGAAATGCTGCCATATACAGTTTCTATTGTAAATGCTAGTCAAAAGTCATATTTTTACCCCACTTCGCAAAAGTCCATAGGGAGTGTGACCTCATCGATGACCCCTAAACTACTAAAAAATAAAAAGTCATAAAAAGTAAATTTGGAAATATGTCTATTACGTATAGATCTAGATCTAGACAGTGCATATAGATCTATTATTGAAATTAATAAACTAGTTTAGAGATCTAGATCTAGAAGGTTTGTCAACATTTCATAATTTTGATCTGGCAATTTTTATCTAAATGAAGAGATTTAACTACGAAGGCGCCGAGTTATGAATAAGTCATAGAGACGTTGTTGATTTATTGTAACCATATTCAATAGAACTAGATCTAGCGTAGACTAGTCTAGTTAGAATTAACTATATGCAATTTTATTCCAATACAATAGCATACATAAGCTTGATATAGGCTAGAGACTCGAAGAGAGAATGTCAGATAGGCCTGCAAGGTACTGACTGTCACTGTACTATTTTGTAAGATTTGTTTGGGTAGGCCTAGCTTAAAATAAGTACTAGACTAGAATCTAGTACTAGACAGTACTAGACTAGCTAGCCAGATCTAAAATATATATATAGTCTAGATCTATATTATTATTATATAACTTATATTATAAGTTATAGATCAAGTATAACTTTGGCACTTATGAATTAAATTATTAACCCTTTTACTTTACGTAAGCCCTTTTAAAAGTTACTAGGCCTGTACTTAAACTTAGGACTTGTCACTAAGTATTATGTATAATTTGATCTAGATCTAGATACTAGTAGAATAGTAGATCTAGTGTAGTAAATAGATCTAGATCTCTAGTTGTTGTTATTATAAAGGTTTTCATTCTCAAATGGAAATATAAATAAATAGATTATATCAGTATATCTCTAATCCCAACTAATTTAGAGATTCTAGTTGTTGAATTTAGAATTAGATCTAGAAATATAGGTTTCTAAAAAAATAAATAGTTAGGTCCAGCACTAATTTATATAAATATATATATATATATATATCTACAGGTCTCGTAAGCCAGTAACCTATTCTGGTTTTGATGAAGGTTCTGATGGTAAAAGACATATTTAAAATATTTTTTTCTTATAAGAGCATGATGTAGTATTTAAATGTATCAAAGGTAATTAACCTACATTAGTAGTGCATAACAGCATTTTATTTAACTATCAGTTATCTTTTTATGTTTTTTTCCCAGATGACTTTGCCTGTACCACTCCACCTGCTCCAAAGAAATCAAAGACATCGAAAAGTGACGAAAAGGGAAATAAATTAAAATCAACAGTGAAAGAAAAAAAATCATCATTACTTGCAGATGTTGATTTATCATTAATCCAAGAGTCAGAGTCTGGGAAAAAAAGGTGCAAGCTCGGTGACAACATAGATAATTAAGAATCTCATAACAAATGACTCAACTCATTATCTTTAGATGTATTTCCATAGCATCTGTAATTATACTTCTTAAAATTAACGCATAAAATATTAATAATATTCTTGTTGAGATGTTTTTAATTACTTCAATAATTATTATTCCGTTTTTAGGTAGTTTTGTAGTTAATAATGTTTATTTTTTATTACAATTCTGCTAGACGTGCACCTTTAGCAGAAAAGATATATGAAAGAGAATTAAAAGCAGCTCTGCAGTTGTCAATACAAGAAGTGAGTGCAAGTCAAGAAATGTTAAAGCACAATGGTGAGTCTCACTTAGGTGGGTTTTTTTTAAAGATCCACTGGTGTAAAGTTATTTCACTTTAATATACCTTTATCACCTCTATTTTGCAGTTTTTTTTAATACAATTTTGTTGAAAACAATATACTTTAATAATTTAGGAACAGGTTTATATTTTAAGACATTTTTTAATTGTAGGCCTAATTCAAATTTTTTTTTGCTCTTGTATGTCATGAAATTTGTTTGAAAATTAAAACAAATTTTACTGTAGTCTTAACTTTTATAGCCAGTTTGAGTTTCAATTCATATGATTATCCCTTATTTAAAAATAATTTATTCCCCTTAAACTAGGAAACTCTGAAAACCTTAATCCCACACCTGATGAGGGGTCAAAGTCCATTTCCGTGACACATGAACATAGAAGTGAACCTGAAATTAAAAAACCTGCTCCAATCATTGGAGTAACTATGGATGAAACAATTGAGATCTTGGAGAATCCTGCAAGTGACAAGAAAAACTGCAAGGTTTCTATGAGTAGACCAAAGAGATCTACCACTGTAAAAACTAAACCAAGGAAATTAATTTTGGATGATAAGAGTGAAGGTACTTTGATTCATATTTTTTTAAAAAGCAAAATAATTGCTACTAATTTGAATCATTATCTAAAATTATTTTTTAAGATATGCAACTGATTTGATGCTTTATTAAGTTTTAATCAATCAAATATATATATATATATATATTTTTAATGGTGGCACTTTATAAAAGAAGTGCTTCAACTCTTGTATTTACTTGGTTGTTATTCACAGTGCTGATGCTGGATTTAAGTTATTGTAATAGTTAAGTTTAATTTAACTTGTTTGAAGTTTACAGAGTTTCACAGATCAATAACATATATTTGATTTTTATTGTTATACAGCATTGTCATGAGTTTCTTATGCCAGGTTTGCTGTTAAGATAACCATAACAATAGGGAAGCTAATGTAGAAAGCAGCCTTAATTAAATACTTATATTTCTGCATTATTTTTAATATAAATTATATTAAGTACCTTTTTTTTTAAAATTTAAGATGAGAGTGACTTCAGCTCTGAGCAAGGGGAGACAAGCGAGGATGATGACAACCAGAGTGATGTCAGTGAGGAGGAGGACACAGGGAGTGACAGTGACTATGGTGGCAAGGTCGGAAAGAAAAAAACAAAACCAGATAGGACAAAATCAAAGACACCTATAAAGACAAGCAAAGATGTGAAGAATAAATTAAGCCATGCAGGTGTTTAAGAATTATTTTGTGTATTCCAACATTTATTGTATATGTCTGCAATGGATTGTTATATATATAGTATTGAACTTATTGTAAATTATAATTTAAAAAATTAAGATTATATTAGTATATTTAATTTTAGCAAAAACTACTTAATTTTTTTTTAAATTACATTAATATTAAGTTTACATTAATTTGATTTTATTTTTTCAGCGACACCTGACCCTTCCATGCCACCTTTAATCAGCATCTCCTCCAAGCCCTCTTTGCCAGTACTACAGAACATTAAACCACCCACATTAACAGCAGTCAGGGAAAACAATGTGAGTTCACCAGCTCCTGTACCAGTCACAACCAAGGCTTCTACACGTGCCTCAGCCTCAACCAAGGCCTCACCATCACTGACAGCCTCAACCAAGGCCTCACCCACACTCACTGCAGCCTGGAAACCTCCAGGTATGTTTTTCAACAAACATTTCTCCTGTTTTGCTCCAACTCACAAACCGCAGCCAAGATCCATCTTGTGCTGCCACGCAGTAGTTGTAGACCTGCCACGCAGTAGTTGTAGACCTGCCACGCAGTAGTTGTAGACCTGCCACGCAGTAGTTGTAGACCTGCCATGCAGTAGTTGTAGACCTGCCACGCAGTAGTTGTAGACCTGCCACGCAGTAGTTGTAGACCTGCCACGCAGTAGTTGTAGACCTGCCACGCAGTAGTTGTAGACCTGTCACGCTGTGGTTGTAGATCTGCCATGCTGTGGTTGTAGACCTGCCACGCAGTAGTTGTAGACCAGCCATGCTGTGGTTGTAGACCTGCCACGCAGTAGTTGTAGACCTGCCACGCAGTAGTTGTAGACCAGCCATGCTGTGGTTGTAGACCTGCCACGCAGTAGTTGTAGACCTGCCACGCAGTAGTTGTAGACCTGCCATGCTGTAGTTGTAGACCTGCCACGCAGTAGTTGTCGACCTGCCACGCAGTAGTTGTACACCTGCCACGCAGTAGTTGTAGACCTGCCATGCAGTAGTTGTAGACCTGCCACGCAGTAGCTTTAGACCTGCCACGCAGTAGTTGTAGACCTGCCACGCAGTAGTTGTAGACCTGTCACGCAGTAGTTGTAGACCTGCCACGCAGTAGTTGTAGACCTGCCACGCAGTAGTTGTAGACCTGCCATGCTGTGGTTGTAGATCTGCCACGCAGTAGTTGTAGATCTGCCACGCAGTAGTTGTAGACCTGCCACGCAGTAGTTGTAGACCTGCCACGCAGTAGTTGTAGACCTGCCATGCTGTGGTTGTAGATCTGCCACGCAGTCATTTTTTAAAAATAGAAATAACCTTGTGTAAGTCTTTTCAGAACAGAGCACAACCAAATTACATGTTGCATACATGGTTTTATTTCTTTGATGGAATGTTGCTCACAAATTATAGCCAGCATCCTTCTCCAACTATTCTTTAACTCGTTTATAAACTATAACCAAGATACATCTTATAGTTTTTATTTAAAAACATTAATCCTACCTCTGTACCTTTCCACTCTGAATTGTTGTTTTTTTAATTTTGCTGCCTGTCCATCCTCTTATATCTATGTTATTCTAGTAACCTTAAGTAGTTTTTATAACTGGGGACAGCATAGTTGCCTGAGAATGAGATAGCGCACAATTGCTAACCCAAAAATCTTGAGTTCAAACACCCCCCCCCCCCCTCCCCCCAAGCAGTAACCAATCTTAGAGAGAAAACTCCAAAATCTAGCAACTTCTGTCTTGCTGCAGATGTTCTTAGTTCAAACCAAGTCACATCCAGAAAGAAAAGTAGGCTGAAGACTTAGTCAACTGGCCACATGGCGAATAACATATCGACATGTAATTATTAATTATGTTGAAGGAAATCCCTACCAATCTTACTAGAGAGAAGTTTACTTCACCTTCAGTGTTTGTCCTAAATTTCAGTGGTTCTCTTATAACTTAAATTTTTACCCTTGTTATTTCAGTTTATGCCCTAACTTTCAGTGGTTCTCTTATAACTTATATTCTTACCCTTGTTATTTTAAATTGGGGAACAAAGTGGTTCTCTTAAAACTTTTATTTTTACCCAGTCATTTATTCTTACCCTTGTTATTTCAGTTTATGTCCTAACTTTCAGTGATCCTCTTATAACTTATATTCTTACCCTTGTTATTTCAGTTTATGTCCTAACTTTCAGTGGTTCTCTTATAACTTATATTTTTACCCTTGTTATTTCAGCTCGTGCAAGTCCTGGAAGCTCTACATTGAGCAGTGCCAAGTCCCCAACCTCAAACCTTCGTCTGGGACTTTCCCGAAATCAGACTGTTAAGCCCTTGCACTCGTCTTTTAAAGTTATATGACAAAATATCATGTTTATCCCATCCCTACAAGGTGTTCATCTGAGGATTATGTTATTTATTTCATCCCGGACGTAAACTGGATTGTTATGGAAAATTATAAGATTATTATAGGTAGTCTTGAATTATTATACTCCCATATTGACATCATGGTGCTTGTAAATAATAGAGTTTGTTACCACCAGCTTAGTTTTTCATCAAAGGACAGATGTGGTACCCCATTACTCACACACTGATCATCATTCAGACTAGTTTATTAACACGTTTTTCTTAACTCAGCTTCGCGTTTGTGGATGTGTGGATTTGTTTGTTGTTAAAATTGACATCGAAAATTAGCCCACTTCTGATTGCTCTAGAGACCTGAAATTTGGCATACAGGCTACTTTCGCCTAACAATTTCAGATGCAATCATAAAAACTAGCAATTAGAGACCGTAATTAGCTTAATTTAATTACGCCCCAAGGACCATAAAATTGAGGACATGATTTCTAAAGATACCGACAAGACTGTAGGCTTATTGACACAGTTACTTCGGCCCCAATCGATGTGAGCGCGCTGGCCGTGATCGTATAGGGGTTAGTACTTCGCGTTGTGGCCGCGACAACCCAGGTTCGAATCCTGGTCGCTCAAGATTTTTTTAGTCCGTGTATTTATAAACACTTAGTAAAGTCATACTTAATCAAGTCATTAGATAAAGTAGAAAATAAACTATATAAAAAACTTTTTTAAAAACCACGTTTTTCATGTGTAGCAACGGACTAAAAAGGAGAAAATAAAATACTTAAAAAAAACCTTTTTAAAAAACCACGTTTTTCTTGTGGACTAAAAAGTAGAAAATAAATTTTTCTTTTGTGCTTCCTCGAGCTGTGCAAGTTCTTGTGATGACTGACAAAAAACGTGGGTCGGGCAGATGGGTCGGGAAATTTGATGGTGAACGTACCCACGTTTTTTGTCAGTCATCACAAGAACTTGCACAGCTCGAGGAAGCACAAAAGAAAAATTTATTTTCTACTTTTTAGTCCACAAGAAAAACGTGGTTTTTTAAAAAGGTTTTTTTTAAGTATTTTTTATTGGTTTACATTTAAGTATTTCTTATAAGTAACTGTAAGCAGGAATCATTGCTTTTGGAAACACAGGTTAATGAGTGCTAGAATGGCAGAGCTTTAAGCTCTTACCAAATTTGAAAACTTGCTGGCCAGATATGTCCTTGGGTGTGGTTGAAACTGCTCAGCCTTAATGGCCTCTGCTGCAGCTGTCACAACCTGCAAGTGGCACCTGGGATTATTGTTGTCATTTATTATATCTACAATAGTTCACCACTATAATATAATAATCTAACTTATGGGACGGCGTTACCTAGTGGTAGAACGCTAGACTGCTAACCCCGAAATTTCAAGCTCGAATTCAGGTTTTAAGTCAGTAGAATGTCCATTGAGTCCACCCAGCTCTGATGGGTACTTAACTGACGTTGGGGAAAGTAAGAGCGACTGACCACGCTATCCCTTCATATGCTGAGGTCACAGAAACAGGTGAACTCTACTTCACTTGCCCCATGGAGTGTAATGTTTGAAAAAGGACTTCCCCTTTTTTTATACTATAATAGATTTAACCAAATCTTATTATTCTTAAGAGGATAAATAACATAAAGTTAGTCACAATATATAATTTAATACAAAATATTCTTCAAAGGCAACAACCAGATAAAAACTACTCTTATATTTATTTCCTTTTTTCAATTATTGAGTCCTGTCCTAAAGAATACACACTGCTTTTTAAAAACTATTAGTTAAAAGTATTTGTTGTCTTAAGTCATTTATTTTGTTTATTTTTTGACAGATTTGATATGTTTAACATCTTTTGTTCAGTATATATGTACTATTTTATATTTAATAATTGTAAAAAAATGATAAATGAAATACATTCAGACAATGCACTATAAAACAACAACATATAAATTACTATTTTCTGCTTGTTTAACCAATATTTATTGAACAAAGCAGATACAACCCGCATAAAGCTGGGTTGTTTTTTTTTAATTGGTAAACAAATGAAACAGGTGTTACACTAGTATAAGTAATTTTATTTTAGTGTTGATGTGAATTCTTTTCTGAGATTTTTAAAGTGTAAATAAAATGGAATCAAATAGACATTTTTTGTGTGGTTTTAAAATTATATTGAGATCTAATTATTGTTAAATTACAATGCCATATACTTGGTTAAAAAAATGAATGAAGTACCTATTTATGGACAAATGGTGTTAGTTAGAGTTGAATTTTTCTAGGCCTCTTCTTACTTTTTTTTCTTCGTATTTCCATGTACCAGGGACTCTTCTGAAAATATGGTTGCCATGGCAATGGCGACCATCTTGGAAAAACTACCTTTTGTGGAGTTCTAAAATTTCATAAAGTACCATAAAAACCACATATATAATCATTGATCCCTCTTGAACTAACACAAATTGAAGTCAGCTAGCTAGATTTTGTAAGAGAAAAACTGATAGAAATACTTTTTGTCAAAGTTTCAAAGCTTTTTTTTTAAGGTGAAATACCATGAAATTCAGCATTAATTTAAATGGAGTTTCGCCATACCGAGTTTTGAAAAAATAAAAATAAATTTCTAGAGTGTTTTCTGTTACAAAACTAGTCAGCTGGCTCTATTAGTATTAGTACAAAAAGGATCAATGTATATAGCCAATATATATGTTTAACAAATTTTAGAACTCCACAAAATGTGGTATTTTTTCAAGATGGCCGCCATTGCCATGGCAACCATATTTTCAAAAGAGTCCCAGAATGGTTGTAAAAATTAAATTTCAGGATATTTAAATTGATTTAGCAATACATGCCCAGAGGCGTAGCGACCCCTCTCTGACAAACCTTCAATTTGGCGCCCCCCCCCCCCCCTATATTTTTTGTTTATAGTTCAAATGCAGCTAAATGGGCTTTTAATTTTTTTGGCGCCCCTAGGGTCGGCGCCCGGGGACATATGTACCCATCCGCCCCCCTTTCGCTACATGCTTATCTATTATTCAATTATCTCAGTGGCGTAGCGAGGTCGGGTGTCACCCGGTGCGGCACTTAATGGTGTCACCCCCCCCCCCAGAGGCATAGAGACCCTTCCCAGGGACAAACTTTCAAATTTTCGATTTGCACCCCCCACCCCCCCTCGAGTTTTCGATTTGCACCCCCCCTCAAACTTTCGATTTGCACCCCCCCCCCCCTCGAGTTTTTCTCTATATATTTTGCTATTTTTTGCCTTGGTGTCACCCCCCTAAATGGTGTCACCCGGTGCGGTCCGCACCCCCCGCCCCCCCCCCCCTCGCTACGCCCCTGAATTATCTATACTATTTTATTAAAATATCCTGTGAACCTGTTAGTCTGACACAGCTGCCAGTATGCCCCGCCACCGCGACAAGGTAGGTTCACGGCGGGGAAAAACTCGCTGCTACCATTGAAAATAGAGTGCCTCATACGTTGTTGGATTTACTGGTAGGCTCAGCGAGCCAAATATAGACATTCCCGGGCCACTCACAAAATGCGAATCTGCAAAAAACTACAAAAAGTTCACAAATGTGAGCCAATCATAGCGTTTTGCCCCGCGACTTGTCGATTTACGAGCCTCTAATCTCAACTACAAGCTTTGAAACCTACAAAAACCTCAACGTCTTACCAGCAAAAAAAACAATAAGATTTTGCTCGGTTTCAAAGGAGAGCTTTTCGAGGGGGCGTAGATGTTATTTTATGTAAATATTCGAACCTCCGAGGAAGACTCTACATTGTACATAGTTAACGGTGTTTTCCCCTATTTATTGCACCCAGGAGCGGTACTACAAAGCCGCCAGACCCCCGCATCGCGCCGAACACCACGTTTTCCCGGGCGCCCGCGCACAGGGAGAGACTTTCAAAATCGGACTGACACACTACCAGCCCGCTTATATTATAGACTAGCTTATACGGTAAAACTCCATTTTAGCGTATTTTATTCTCCGCTTGTCGTTTACCTCCAGTTGAGCGTATTTTATTATAATAACCGAAACACACCAAAACATTAGGAAAATATGGATATTCACGAACATTAAATTACGGTGAAAAAAATTGAGAGCTAACGCTATCACGAACGTCCGCCCTGACATCACTCCTCCCCAGAGGCGTAGCGACCCTACCCGGCGCCCGGGGACAAACTTTTCGATTTGCACCCCCCCTCGAGATTTCGATTTGCACCCCCCCCCTCAAACTTTCGATTTGCAACCCCCCCTCCAAATTTTGATTTGCACCCCCCCCCCCTCAAACTTTCGATTTGCACCACCCCCCCCCTCGAGATTTTGATTTGCACCCCCCCCTCAAACTTTCAATTTGCACCCCCCTCAACCTTTCAATTTATTTTTCGAACCCATTTTGGCGCCCCCTAAGCTCGGCGCCCGGGGACATATGTCCCCCCCGCCCCCCCCCCCTCGCTACGCTACTGGTGATAGATATAGGTTTCAGATAGATCAGAACAGGTTCAAGCGACAGGTAGAATACAACAGGTATCTTTTACAGATAGACTACTGCGGGGTTCTGTATTAGGAAGGTATAAGCAGGGTTCGTACTACTTTTTCAAAATGAAATTCCAGACTTTTTCCAGATATTTTCCAGACTTTTTTGGAAAAATTCCAGACTTTATACAGATAATGTGTTCGCGAATAATTTATAAAATGATGCACCATTTGTACTCTCATAATTACTTGTACTAAATTGACATTTATTTTAGGCAGTTGAGATATATTTATATTGAACTTTCTCTAGCCAAATTGACAGAAAATCACTTTTCTAAGTTTGCCTACTCAACTCCACCTAAAGTTTTAACAATTAAAATAATTGATTAAAATGATGCAGCTATTTTGTTTTAAACATTAGACTTATGTAATCTGTTCATGATCAAAATGCTTATGTTTTCAATTAAACTATTATTAAAATGGTATTGCATAACAGTGAGAGTTAATTACTTTAAAGAATACTAACGTAATGTATTAA